CAGAAAAAACAGCCTGCTGTGTGTGCTGTTGGGTGGTAGGCAGTGAGTGGCGGGTGGTGTGTGTGTGTGTGTGTGAGGAGGGTTCCCATTCCCGATTGCCTGGTAATTGTTTTGTTAGAGCAGCATTTCATAGGAGAGTCGGTTTCCCTGTTACCATGGCGATAAGGGCTTTCCTGCTCTTCTCTTCCCATCAGTCTGTGTGCTCCCACCCATCTCTGCTGTGCGAGATGAGGCTTAGCTAAACGCTGTTTCAACAAACGACCCTCAGCAAATGGCAGCCAAGTCAGGCTTTGGGTTGAATACACTCTAATCCACCTCCAGTGAACTGTTTTTAACCATCACATCATGTTTTTTTTGTCGTCTTTGCTGAACCACCCAAAAAATACAGTGTAAATGGTGCAATACTATAGTATAAACTGCAGATAGCACAGTAAAATGTTGCAAAGTGCAAGTTAGTGTATGACATATTTCTGTATAAATAGCTGTGGAGCAAAGTAGTACAGTTATATGTATGTTTCATCATGCCAAATAAGGTCTGCAAAGACATGTTAAAGGGTATGTCCACCCACAAATTCAGCTAGAGTCCTCCTTCTCGATGTATTTTTAAAATGCAACAGAGGAGTGAGGGAGCTCTGACTGTAGGAGGAAGGCCTGTGTGGTTAAGTGTGTGATGCAGGGGGGTCAGGGGGCCACTGTCTGGCCATCTCTCAGTGTAGCATGGACACCGTGTTGCTATTCAGAGCTAACGAGCCGTGAGAAGCTACTGTCAGACTCTCTGTATCTCTGCTGGAAGGAGAGGAAGTCTGGTGGAGCTTTGGCAGCCACTAGAAGCACGTTAATGTTCCTTTAAGAGAGTTACTGTGTGGCTACTTGTTTTCTGAGCTAAAACAGCAAATTTACACACAATACTGTTTCTGTATTGTTGGAAAAAATAAACTGTATTAACACAACAACAAAGATCTGTGTGATTACGTGTACAGCACAAAAACAAAAACATGTGTTTCCACAGAAACTTAGAGCAGCGCTTTCTAGGTAACTGTAGATTGCAGATTTAGACTCACACACATCCAACATCTCACCCACAGATATTGAAGGCTTCGATAACAAGTGAGAGGCAGGAAACACTGTGCACCAAAACCTGAGAAACAGTAGGTGAGGCATTGTTTCAGTAAGAGTTGGTGCATGGGAACCCTATGAGCCAGCGCCGGCCTCAGATCCTCGGGCAGCGAGCAGAGCCCTGTGGATCAGTGAACCAGTAACATCTTTTAAATCACTTCTTAAAACATATCTCTTTAAAAAAGCCTTTTATTTATTCTGGCACACGGCTTAATGTCTCATATTTTATTAATAGTATTGTTCTTATATATTAGCAGTGGGTATTTTATTCTTCTTACTCTTCTTATTCTATTTATTTGTATATTATACTTGTTCGTATTATTTGCCCCAGTGTGGTTAATTTTGCAATGTTTTATTGTTTTTGTTTGTTGTTGTTTGTTTTATTTTTTATTTTTTACTGATGGGGGTTTTTCATTCTATTTTATTCTCTTTTATTCTCACCTCTGTATGATTTTAATTGTTGTCATTTTTTTGCCTAGTGCCTCCTGAAATCCTGGTTCCAGGCATGTTAGGCACTTTGTAACTTTGTTTTTAAAAGTGCTGTATAAATAAAGTTTATTATTAGATTATTATTATTATTATTATTATTATTATTATTATTATTATTATTATTATTATTATAGAATGTAG